ACAGAATGGAGTTCAGGGCTGTTGTACATAGGGTCGCTATGAGTCGCAAGCGACTCGACGGCACATAACAACAACAACAACAACAATTACTACGAAGGAGATTGCCCATCTTTCTCCTATGTAACAGCTGGTGGATTCAAACCGTATACGTTTGGGTTACAAGGCCATCTCCTTACCACTAGGCCACTAGAGCGCCCTGAGTGAGGAGTAGGTGTCTAATTTTACATTTGTGCTTTACATATTTAATATCAACTTCATTTCTTTCATTTTAATATAAACATGTATCTTTGGAGCCTTCCAACAGGTTTTCAGAGGCAGTTAATCCTTCTCCCACATACACAGACTTTTACTAATAAAGGGTGGCACAGGTGATAGCTAACCTGAATGGGAGCTGAGGCCCTGAGGGGGCCCAGGAAACATCATCCTGCTCCCAGCACACGGCTTGGGTCTTGCTGAGTCTGGGGCCCCGGCAGGACTCACTGCAGTGGTGCAAGGTCGCCATCTGGTGGCCAGCCGCGGCCCAGCCTCTCGCCTCCTGCCTCCTGCCTCCAGCCTCCTCCTGCCTCCTGCTTCCTGCCTCCTCCTGCCTCCAGCCTCCAGCCTCCTCCTGCCTCCTGCCTGCTGCCTCCCCCTGCCTCCTTTGGGTGGGCGTGCCCCTGGGTGGTGGTGGTCTTGGTTCTGGCAGAAAGAGAAGTAACGCAGACACCAGGGTGCCATTCATCTCTCGGAGAGCAATCTGACAACAAAAGTGTCCAGGCCGACTAGCTGTCACAAACCGCAGCTGACACAGCATGGACCGTTGAGTTTCACCCCATAATTATCCATGGAAAATCCCGGAGTCAGCAAATATCAGGAAAAAGGCTCTCATTTCCTTCCGCTTTTCTTGAAGATGGGAGGTCTGGTGGGTCAGCAGTAAGGAATTGTGCTCCCAACCCACAGGCAGGTGGTTCGAACCCATCAGCTGCTCCAGGGGGGAGAGATGGGCAATCTCCCACGCGATTTTGTTGTTATAGCCCATCAAGTCAGACGTGACCCAAACCCCGGGGGGCTCCGGTTGGTGTTCCCAGACAGGATGGAGCCGAGTGGACGGGGTCACCCGAGTGCCCAGAGAGCCTCCGAGCAGTGCAGGAGCCCTGGCTCTGAGTGGGAAGACCTTCTGATCAAAAAGTAGACTTCTGTACACACATTCACGCTTGCTGTTGATGGAGTGAAAACTCCAGGGAGATGGCAGTTCTCCGCTACAACCTCTCACCTGCCTGGCAAAGCCCAGGAGCCCCACGTGCTTAAAGTGCTTCCCTAGCTAACCAGAGTCAAGTCCACCAGCCACTCCAGAGGGGGAAGTTGGTGGCTTCAGTGGACCTTACCACCTTGGAAACCCTTCCAGGAAGAGACCCTGTCCGCACGGTCACATGAGTCACATCATTTTAATGGTGTTAGGTTTCATTTCGGGATTTTTGCACAGTCCCAGAGACAGGATGGAAACCAACCTCACCCCTAACCTCAGCCACATGTTTACCCCCTTCAACCTGTCACTTCAGGTATCAAGAGAACCCAAAGAAGAAAGATCTTTAGGGCAGACTTCCTAGTCCTGAGCCCTCTCGGTAAGAGCGGGTAATGGACGGGAGAGGAATAGACTAGAGCTTGGTGGTAAACAGTTAATGTCATTTGACCAAAAGTTCGGGGGTTCAAGTCCACCCAGAGGTGCCTTGGAAGAAAGGCCCGGCAATTCACTGGAAAAACTCAGCCCATGCAAGTCCCTGTGCAGTTCTGTGCTGACACACATGGGGGCGCCCTGAGCCAGAGCCATCGCTATAACCAGATAGGGGGCTGACCAGTAGTGTCCTGGGGACCCCTTGCCTCGAGACCTCCAGGCATTCATTTCCGGCAGGAGCTGTAAGCATTTGTGTTATTTACATGGGCACGTTAAGAGGATCTTCACCGTGGCCCCCTGGCACACATGGAGGGCACCCCACGATCACACAACGGGGTGCCTGCACACACCCAGCCCTGCATTTCAGGAGTGAGTTTATTTGTATGCGCTGCATGGCTGACAGTTCCATCTTCAATCCCCAGGACACAAGCGTGGATTCAGGGGTTCACAGCCAGTCAGTGGGCCGGTGCTGGTCCCCTGCTGCTGGCTTCCCCAAGCACCAGCCCTCTACCCCAGGGGTCTCCATTGAGCTCCAGAGGCCTGGGACCCACCCCTGGGCACTCCCAGAAGACAGAGGCCCAGCTGTCCGTCTTGATGATCAAAGTCTGTCCCCGCCTGGCTCTGCTGGATGCTTTCCCTCCCCGCACTGTGAGGAGCACGTGACGGGGCAGCACCTGCCTGCATCCAGGAGTGACGGGGACACGTGTGCACACAGAGCTCTGGGCTGTGACTTTGTGAGCACCCCCACGTCCTCGGTCCTCTGGGGGCCGTGGGGAGTCGGAGTTGATGACCGGTCAGTCAGGGCATCTGCTGGATGTCTCCCACCGCCTCCTGGAAAGGCTGTTCTATCGGCCACAGCACTTGGCTTGTTTGTGGGGGCCCTCATTGAGAAGCACCTGGGGGTCCCCCTTCTGTGTCTGGGCCACCCGCTCTTCTCTTCGCAGCAGCTCCTGGGCTGTGAAGACAGAGGCAGGACGAGATGGGGCCACCCCCGCCCAGCACACACCTGAGCACCCAGCCTGGTCTCTCTCCCCCAATATTGTCCTAAAACTGCCAGCAAGGCCTCCTTTTCCACCCCAGGACCCATGAGCAGGTGGAGGACAGGCCCAGCGTCACTCACCCACGGCTTGGAAGGCCTCGGTCACCTGGTGGTTCAGCTTGGCTGACGCTTCTGTAAAGAGCAGGCCTTTGCTGTCCGCAAACTCCTTCCCCTCCTGAGACAAACATGCACCGCATTCACACATACATGTACAAGTACATATATGTGTGTGCATGTATGTGGGTGTGTATTTCTGTGTATGTAAGGATGTGTGCACACAGAGGTGTGTGGACATGTATGTGGGTGTATGCATGTCAGTGTGCATGTGTGCATGCACATGTGTGTGACCATGTGTGTGCGTGTGTGTACATGTGTGTGCACGTGGGGGTGCGCACGCGTGTGTCTGTGCTCTCTCAGATGAGCCGTTACATGCAGCTCTCCATCAAACTGCGTGGAAGAGCCAGGAGACATGACTAGAGACACACCTGGACAGTGACCTGGCGCTCCTCGTCGAGGTCCGTCTTGTTGCCCACCAGCATGACCACAACATCTCCAGGCAGGATCTCACTCTCCAGGTCCCGGAGCCACTGCTGAGCCCTGAGGAAGGACTCCTGTGGGGACAAAAGATGTCAGACGGAACTCGGGTTTAGGGTGCAGCTGCAGCCCTGGCTGTGAGGGGCCCAAGCTGTGGGAGGCCTGAGCCATGGGGGGCCCAAGCCGTGAAGTCTGGAGCCCTGGAGGGCCCAAGCTGTGGGGCCTGAGCCGTGGGGGCCGAGCCGTGGGGGCAGGCTCACCTTGCTGGAGATGTCGTACACCAGCAGCGCCGCGTGGGCTCCTCGGAAGTAGAGGTGGCAAACACTGTGGTACTTCTCCTGACCAGCCGTGTCCCAAATCTCAAACTTGAGGGAGGCAGTGCCCACATGCACCACCTTTGTGAAGAAGGCACCTAGAAGGAGGGAGCTGGGAGCTTTATCTGGGGGACTCTGTCCAGGGCCATCAAGATGCCCGACCAGTCTCCAAGGGACTTCCCCAGGCCTGTCTCACAATGGGGCAGCCCCACTGATACAGGGGAGGGACCCCACTCAGCAGACACTTGCTGAATGAGTGAGTGACCGAGGGAGCGAGTCAGTGAGTGAATGGCAGTGTCGGTAAGTGACCGGGTGTGTCACGAGTGAATGAGTGAGCCAGTGAGTGAACAAGCGTGTAAGTGAGTCCTTCCAGTGACGACACGGACGCCTTATTAGCACAGGGTTAGACTCTGACATCAGAATTCTGCTTCCATGCATGAGTCCACCTGCCCAGGCCACCCCCGGCCCCCAGAGGTGAAAGGCCATCTTGCCTGGGCACCAAGGAGGTGGGCAGAGTCTGGCCAGGCCATCTGGACCCTGCTCTACTCCTCACCAGCCAGGGGGGCCAGGCACCCACAGACCCTGGTTGAGAGAAGCCTGAGCTGGGGAAGGGTGTCCCGTGTCCCTGGACCCTGTGTGGACGCCCACAGACTTCATCCCTCTCTCCACCGCAGCCCCTACTGGCCACTGAGGTCCTGGAGGAGCTCTGAGCTTCCCAGGAGGGTGTCCCCTCCACACCAGGGGTCGGCTCAGGCCCCTTCCCAGGAACCCCTGCGTCAGGAGAGTAGCACTAACTGGGCGATGAGGCTGGTGTCGAAGGACAGCACCAGGCTTTCTTCGGAGGCCCCTCTGGTGGACCCTTGCCCCGGGAGAAGTCCACCCTGCAGGGGAGAAGGGCTCCCGTCACTCACATCCCACGGTCGGCAAGATGCTCCTGAACTCGTTCCTGATGTAGCGGAACGCCAGGCTGGATTTGCCCACCGAGCCGCTGCCCAAGAGGACCAGCTTGAAGACTCGAGGTGAGTCCAGGGGGCCCCCAGGGGGCAGGGTCCCCTCGGGCTGGGCCATGCGCTGCAGGAGGACACAGGATAGAAGTGGTGGTTATCTGGGGCCTGGACCTCAGTGGGTCTTGAAACCTGGGGTTGCCTGCACTGGTCCACCCGGACAGTCTCGAACCAGCAATGGGTGTACACCCTGCTAGCCGTGTGCTCTACCTCCCCATCTGTCCTGGGGTGACTGGCACCTGCATGAGGACCACAGCAAGCCCTGTCTGTAAGTGCGGTGCACCATAACCAGCTGCAGACCCTCAATACTAACCACGGCACCGGAGTTGTCACCCACTCCCGTGTGTGTGTGTGTGTGTGTGTGCGCGCGCGCGTGCACATTCGTGTGTCTGTGAAGCTGGAAGCTAAGCTGTCATCAGTAAGGTCACCCATGGTGAACAGTGGAACTTCCAGACCAAGAGAGACTAGGAAGAAAGGCCTGGACATGTCCTTCCACAAGTTATCCCGTGCAGGCCTGCAGATCACGACTGAACACTGTCTGGCTTGTTTGCTTCAGGCACTCCATGGGGCAGCAGGGGGGGAAGGGGGGCGCATCTCTGCCGGAGAACATCTTATTTGGGGAGAAGCTGGCAAAGGAGAGGAGACCCTCGGTGACACGGCTGTGAGAAGGAGCCCAGCCCTGCGGCCCAGTGACCATGGAAGACCACCGTTGTTAAGGGCTGCTGGCCCCTCGTACAGCACAGAGGAACCTCACAGCCTGGTCCCGCTCCTTCACACTCGCTGCTCTGTCTGTCCATTTCGTTGAGGGCCTTTCTCGGTCTTGCTGACCCTCTACTAGTGTCTCCAAGTGTCTCCAAAGTTGACGCGTCTCCCCGAGCTCGCTCCTGAGGACCGTTCCAGCTCTATCTTCCCAGCCAGGCGGCCGTCCTCCCGGCAGCCCAGTCGTCAACGGTCTTCCCAGTGTTTCAAAAGCATCCACCAAACATCCACCACCAGGGGACTTGGAAGCAGACCCCAGCCACCCACTAATCTCGTCTCCAGCCTACCATCACTTGACCGCCTCCCACAGATACCACTTTTTTTACAAATTGAAGACTAGTAGAATCCCCTGCATCAATCTCTGCATCCTTTCTGGAAGGAGACTGCTGCCACCCAGGGCTCGGGCCGGCGTGGTCACAGGAAGAGAGAGGCCCTGGGTTTACCCTCCTAACACTCTCTACTCCCGGGCAGCGTGGCAGTTGGGCGCATTATTGACCCCTCCCTGAGTGGAGTCTGACTGGTGATAGAACTCGGCCACAAGCAAGTGATCCCAGAGCTGGAGCAGAGCCTTCTAGACGTGTGTGTGGGAGAGAAGCGAAGAGCGGTCCTCCCTTCTCACCGGCCTTTGGAAAGCGAGGATTTCCACCGACCGTACCAGCAGATGCAGGGCTGTGGCCAGCAGATGCAGGGCTGCAGTTTGACGGGCTGATCACTCTGATCCAAGCCACCAACTGGCAAACGCTCAGAGGCCATTTTACCTCTGGGTGGCATGGCCACAGTGCCAGCCCTCCTGGGCCCACTGGGTATCACCTGGACAAAAATGCTAGCAGACCCCAAGTCTCCAAAAGGAAGCTCCCAAGGAAGAGAAATGAAACTGGAGCAAAAAGACATAACAATTAAAACCAAGTCTTCTGGTGTCATTTTTCCAACAGTGCGTGTCCACTCTGGTTCCTTGTCACACATTGGTCGTTCCTGAGACATTTAAAACCTTTCACAATCCCCCTCCTGCTTGAAAGGCCATCCGTGCGCTCCCCTGAGGCAGCTCTGACCCACGGACCCGCTGTTGTGTTGCCAAAGATGTAGATCCTTACACGAGAAGACTGCCTTCTTGTGGATTGGAACCGCTGACCTTTTGGTTCGCAGCCCACACGTGGTGCCGTGGGCAACTTGGGTAGAGTGTAAGCGGGAAGCTGAAATGTGTCTGTGTCACGGTTGGTCACATGGTGGTGGTCGGGAATCGAACCTGCAACCTCTCCAAGGCCCGCTGTGCACACATTTGTCCTCTGCCATTTGTCTGTGGGAGAAGCCAGGCCAGGCTGTCTGCTCCTGGTCTCTTCAGTCGCCTCCCGATGGGGCCACGCAGTCTCTTGCTGTGATCCATGTTCTCCCACACTGAGGTTCAGTTAGTCTGGGCCCAGGTTCCGTGCTCGGACATGAGCCCACGAGCAGAGGCTGTGGCCGCTGATGATGACGGCCTTCCCACCACGCCCTGGGGATGTGCC